GATTTGATATTTCTGTCAATTTTTCACTCAAATCTATTCACTTCTGATGGAAAGTAATAACAGAAAGACAAACACTTATTGTATGATTAGGTTATCTAACAATAACCGCAATCAATAGTGACTGCCATTAAAAAACAAGTGAAAAGCTATAGTAAAAGCCCAACTGTTTTACCCAAATATTTATTCATACGATTCTCAAACATATTTATTACTATTATATTATATATTATTTAGCATTCATTTGTCATTTCATTCATTTCAATACAATTGTGTTGTTTTTTATCTCTAATGGTTTGATACAAAAAAGGCAAACAAATCGGAGACCTATTTATTTGTGCCATTAATTGTTATAATAGTTATTGCCTTCAATTTATTGGTGCTTTGAATCAGCATTTGTTTGCGTTAGAGATTTGAACGCATTTTTGTGTCTAAAAATATCAATGAAAATATCGGTGAAAATATTTTGCACTCTTTTTTACATATATTTCATACGAAAAGTTATTGTCTCTTATTTTTCGCTCTAAACACCAAATTATAAGCAATTAATTAAATTATAACTAAATATATAAATGATCTGAAGATTTATGAAAAATTAGTATTGATTTATGAATTGTTGACGTTTTTTGGGTGAAATTCTTGAAATTTTATTTTGTTTTGAAAAACTTTTTGCAATCGATTGAAATGATTAACACTTTAAACGTGTAATTAATTGTTTGTTATTTAAATGTAATTAATTTTCATTCTATAATTGTAATGATTTTCTGTACACAAAGCAAAGCAAAACATATTGTAATTTATATGAAGTTTAATATATTTTAATTTTTCTAAAACATGAAATTAATTAAATAATTGTTTTTTGTTTTGTTATTTTTCAAACGGCTATACATTTAATAATTATATGAAATTAGATATTAATTTTGTTTTAATTAATAATTTGTTTATAACTTTATTATATAATTGGTTTTAAATGAAAACAGCTATCAAATCATATCATTAAAACAATTTTGTTTTTTAACATTAATTTTTTTGCCAAAAATTTTCTAATTTTTACTGAAAGTTATAAATGATATTTGAAATGTAATTATATTAGATTTATGAATAATAAAAAATTATTTTAAATATGATTAAAAAAACAAGTAATTTACAATAATTTACAAATTATAATTAAAAGTAACATTAAATAATTCAATGAGATTTTTCATTCATTGTTTCGATTGATTGTTATTTTGAATTTCAGTCACATATTGGGCCCAATATTTGTCCCGAATCTCTGCGACAGTCTTCTGAAAATCCGGTGGAAGTCTGACTCTCTTTGGGAAGACATCCCTCAGCGCTCTTCTCGGCCAACGAATCCCATTCTCGCGGATGTCTCCCATCGAGTAGTCCGTGTGTCCGCCCCTCCACTCCTCTGCATTGCCGCCGCCTATCACTCCATTGTTGGCCACATTTGCGTTCATCTTTCGCTAAAATTAAATTAAATAATGTTTTATTAATTAAAATAATAAATAAATAAACAATAAATAAATGCATACCAATTGATGTCCAAACGTATTGTCTTTGACTTGTGATGACTTTTGAATGATTGTTGTCTTATTGACTGTCAAACACGTAATGATCACGTTTTGCAAACAATCATTCAAATGAATGCAATACTTATTTTAAAATATACCATAATATCCCACATATATACCCACACCTAAACATTACACTGATAATATTTTTAATGTATACAATCAGTAATATTATGATAAGTACACTCTGTTAGAAGTATGGTGGTATAATTTATTTGGCCAGACGACCTCGGGTTTGGCCGCAGTGACCACTTTTATCGGGAAAAATTTGGATATCAAATCTTGTTTTTTATGAATAAGTATATTGTATAGTATATGTATACAGTATTTTATCAACTGGGTGAACAAGCAGTTGTGTGAACTTAGCATTTGTATGAACCAAACCCTAAAACCAAAACCTGCAGTCCATAGACATAATGTTAAAATAGTATCAACTGTGTGAACGTCAACTGTGTGAACATATCATTTGTGTTAACAACATTGAGTTAATATTATACAAAATTCAATACATTATAAAATCAGTTGTGTGAACCACATATATTATGTGACAAACCCACATATAGATGACAGCATTAATATTTAATTTGTACACAAAACCAAAAAACCTTAACATAAAGTAAAATTACAGCATAAAGAGATGGTGCACACAAAAACCGAGTAATGTCACATATATTTATAAAACAACAACACATTCTTACTTTTAATATGTAATCAGTTGTATGAATATATCGTTTGTGTGAACCAAATGCTAAAACCCAATCTGTTCACCCAGTTGATAAAATACTGTATATCAATAACAAGGTATGGATTAGAGGAATCTAAATCTAAAGGAATTTCCCAAATATGACAATGGGTAAAAGTTATATCAAAATTAAAAAATTTAGTAACAATTACTGAAGTTTTTTATATTGATTAACGTAATTACTGTACATCATTTATATCAATTTCAAGTATGCTCACAATGGTAATTAATTTCGCAAATTAAAAACATAAAAAATTTAATATAAATTTTTTAGCATTTTATCCATTAACACTAATCTTTATTCTTTATTAAAATGTCACACTTTTATTTATTAATTATAAATGAGTTTGTAAATTATTCACTCGTTAAATAATACATACGTTAACATCAATACATTAAATAATATACTCGCAAAAAGTTTTGTCAGAAAGCGTGGTTAGTGTTTGAGATATTAGGGTATGTATGTCTAAAGTTGCAATACTTTTTTGCATTGACTGGTCATAAATATAGTGACCAATAGTTGATTAATTCAACTCAAATAAAATATTAATAAATATATTTTAAATTAATTTATAAACTCAATGTCAAACAAAACGTTTAGTTTTTGCCCTAATTTTATAATAAAACATTTGTCTCCAAAATATACAGACATTGACTGACAATGAAATGTCTACCGAATGGTCACGAATTGACTGTCGATCACGACTTGACTACACATGTGATGGCAATACAAGACATACAATGCATTCAATACCACAAAAATATCGCACAAAACGAACAAACATTCAAACATAGCATTCATTTACGTCCAGACAATCGGCGAAACAATGTTTGCAAACTATTTGCCACTTATATTGATAGCGATTCATACGATTCGGTCGACTCTAGCCGTGAATACGACCACCGAATCCATGGATAACCACAACAAGACTACAGCCGAAGACGAGTACGTGGTTTGCGATCAGAAGCGTATCGGCAATCGGTTGGTGACCACCACTCGGGAACACCTGTGCAAAGTGGAGTGCTATACCGCGCAGAACAGGCCGGGTCTGTGTCAGGTTTGGGCACTCAATCCGTGCAAAACTATGCACATCACAGACATTGACGGCCCGAATGTAGTTAAATGCAAACTCAACCAAAAGGGCGTCAAATTTGAGTCCATTTGCTGTCCATTCAAACGCGAAACTCCCGAACCCACTAAAGCGCCGGTCATTACCCCTACGCCTACTCCGCAAACAACTACTGCCAACAATTCTGTCACTAAATTTGGTATTGATTTATACATTATATTAAATCAAATACATTAAAAATAATGTTAATTTATTTTTCATATCAAATCAAACTCAATGAGAATGCGGTAAACGTCCGGACATCGCAGCCATTGTCGGCGGTAAGCGGTTTGGGGTTTGAAATATTCATATTATTAAACAATTACTTTTTTTGTTGCCAAAAAACAATGTATTAAATCATTTAATTCATATAATTATCGCAAAATATTGTCCCAAAATCGGAGTCATTTGTCTTAAATATTGCAATCGATGGCTAACTCGGGGTCTATATTACACAGGAATCAGCGCTCAGCCAAACACGTGGCCGTGGATTGTGTCGGTCTACGAGCGGCCGTCGCCCACATCTGTGCCCCGATTCCTGTGCGGCGGCGCTATAATCAACGAACGGTACGTTCTGTCGGCCGCTCACTGTTTCGTACGGTACGGACCGGGCGGTGGCGCCGGTGTCGGCAATGTCAGGGCCAACCGGTTTCTCATCAAATTTGGTGGCCATCGACTATCGGACCCGAAGATACCGTTCCGAGAGGTGGCAGCCATTATACCCCACAAAGACTATAACGCGGTTCAACACTATCACGACATAGCGCTCATCAAATTGAGACACAAGATTGAGTTCATGCCGACAGTGGGCCCGATATGTCTGCCAAGGGGTCAACTGTTCGCCAATAGGGGTGAGTTTGTGGGCAATGCGTCCAAACTGGTCGGTTGGGGCGCCACTCGTTTCGGCGGTGTTGTGAGCGATGAGTTGCGCGAAGTGGACGTCAATATCCTCGACAGGAAGTCCTGTCACAGAAACTACACTCAATTAAGTGGACATCAAATCGGTTTCCCTAACGGTATTAACGGTCAGTTGATGTGCGCCGGAGTTATCGGCGGCGGAAAGGACTCGTGTCAGGGCGATAGTGGCGGACCACTCGCGCTGGCCATCGATGGCAAGTGGTATGAGTTGGGTATTGTGTCGTTTGGGTATAAATGCGCTGAACCCGGATATCCAGGTAATTATCGATTAGTTTTATGCATTGAATCAATAATTAAATGTTATAATGATTTGAATAAATTAATTATAGGAATCTATACACGAGTTCAGAATTTCATGAATTGGATTCAAATGAATATTAAATGAATTATTTATACAAAACTTGTTTTTGCAAGAAATAAATCCCATAATAATTACGGATATAATTAAAATTATATAAATCAGTTGTAAAACACATTTTGTTATAATTATGTTTAATTCGTTTAATAAACAGTTTATGCAATGTTTTTATATGACTATTCAATTAATGTTATATTTATTTAATATAACTGTGTTTTGCAAACAACACAATATTACATGATTATCATTAAGTTATCAATTAATTAAAATGCATTTTAAATAAAATATAATCCAATGGTATGTAGTGTTTAGAAAAACTATTTCCAAACGATAGTAACTTTTTTGGACAAAACAGCGTTAATGCTATCGATTGTCAAACGATTGAGATTTTTGTCATACGAGAAACGACTCGTCGGAACACTATTTATGGAAACACTGTTTGGCTTATCCTTCACACCGAGAATCACACATTTGGTCAGTTTCTGGCCATTCATATCATATCCAAACACTTTAGGCGTCGAAATCAGTTCATTCTTTAACAGCAAAATAAAACAAAAGCACAAAATCAACACAAAAACTAATTAAATTAATTTTACAAATCAAATACCTTTTGGGCACTGAATTCAAACAAATTGAATTCTCTGAGCAATATATTATCCAATCCGTCGCCGGAGTCCCAGTATAGGGAACCGTTGGCTTTGGACTCGGCGTCGAGACCGACAATCATAATAAAGTCTCCTTTCCTGGTGTCAGCGGTGGTCACTTCGGGTGTCTGAGTGACCACAATATGTCCCGAACGCAGCAATACGTTAATATCGGTGAGCGGACTGTCGAGCGTAAAATACTGGCCACTTCTGGCCTCATATGAGCTGTGGTTTCGGAGATCATACCAAATACCCGGCGGGAGGTATGCGTTCACCTATACATTGCGTTCAAAGTGATTAACATTCAAAATACTAAACAAAATTCAATTTCATTCATACAAAAGTCATATTCTGGTGAAGTGTTGGCACAACCATAACGGCCGGTCCCCACAGAAACTGTGTCTCAATCTCATAGCTGTTGGGATCGGTTGGGAATTCAAAAAACAGGGGCCGCACGACAGTGTCTCCGGTGGTGTGCGCTCTGAAGAATAGCGTATAAAAGTAAGGCAATAGTGAGTAACGCATTTCCAGCGCCCGTTTGGCCGCAGCGGTCACTGTCGGCCCCAACGACACCGGGTCCTGATCTATACAGTCGTCGGAGTTGTGGTTACGGCTGAACGGATAGAAGGCGCCCAACGCTGACCATCGGGCGCACAGTTCTTCAGTTGTGTTCCCATTAAAGCCTTTAATTACAGATAAAAATACACAAATTAATTGAAATACAGGTTTTAGACATTATATTTAAAGCTAACCACAGATGTCGGCGCCGACTAATGGTATGCCAAACAGATTGAAGTTAAGGATTGCTAAAAATACAAATCATAAAATGTTATCTAAAGTATGATAATAATTATAAATATAATATTACAGGGTATAGACCAACGCATGGACTCCCAATTGGCCACTATATCTCCGTCCCAATGGGAGGCATACTTTCCGTGTCCGGCAAAAGTCGATCGCGAAATAATGACCGGTCGTTGGTTCGGCCTAACAGTCCGGAGAGCACTAAAACATAAAACAATGTAATTATTAATTATTAACAATTAATATAATTAATAATCAAAATCACATACATATTGGTGACAACGGCTTCGCTAATACCATACAAGTTATGCAAATCGTAGTGAAGGCCAGCGTATTGTCGGGCATTCATACACATGGTTTTTGTCCGCAACGGTTCACCGCCGGGTGTGTATTGAGGACTTTCGAGTCGATTCTGCGGACAGCCATCGCTAGAGCCGTCCAAGAAGTTTGACGGTTCGTTCATATCAATCCACGCGCCGTCAAACTCGATCTCCTTATGATATTTGGCAAACATTTGTGTCCAATAGATCTGTGTCTTCGGATCAGTGAAATCGGGCCAAACGGTTGACTTCCCGGTCCATACTTTTCCTGTTTTAATATTAAATAACAACAAAATTAACAACAATTTTACGAAATTATCATTAAAAATAAACATTTAAATACCGATAAATGGCTGTCCCGTCGAGTTCTTGACAAATATATTTAAATCCATTCCGATATCAAATGGCGGATAAGAGCCGCGCTTTTCAGCGGCAGAGATTCCCGGATCAATCATTGGTATGTATTTCATACCAATTTTGTGCAAATTTTGTACAAATTGAGGCAATTTTGCAAAATTTTTCACATCATATGTGAAGTCTTTGTTGGCACTCATGGCGTCGATATCATTCCACTACCAGAAGAATGGCATTCAATTGAATATAACGTAAATGAGATTACATTGCAATCAATACCTGGACATCAAATGGTATTTTTGCGTCTCGGGTTCGGTTAAACACTGTCAGCATATTATCTAATGATCGGTAACCAAACCGACAGATATGAAAGCCCAGCGCCCAATACGGCGGCAGCGATGGTAACCCTATTAACTCTGTGTACTATTAATGGAAAAAATTAAAATATCAATTAAAAAAATAACACTTTAAACAAAATGTGAGATATAATACCTGTCGGATGACATCCTGTGGTTTTGGGCCCAGAAATACATAAAAGTCAAGAATACCGCCGATTGTGCGCCAAGTGATGGCCGGTTTAGGCTGTAATATAACGTCCATAGCGTTACTATTGAATAGGAAGACACCATTACTGTTGCCATTCATGTCCTCAACGGACAGATAGAAGGGATGAGAGCTGTAAAGGTTCTTGTTTTCCACTGGATATTGATCTCTATTGAAGAGCGTATATCTCTTCCACTGTTTGGCCGACTTTCTGAAGCCATCTTTATGTTCGCCTATAAGTCGTTCAATAAAAACCGATCATTAGATTTAAACGCAATTTTAAATTACAATTCAAATACCAATTCCGTAGACGTAATCGTTGGGCAGATTTGACGAGAGCTGAAGGAATTGGTCGGAAAATATAAGGCGCTTGAGATCCGTTTGAAACACAGGCACTGATGTCCGGCGGCGGGCGATCACTAGCACACCGTTTGCGGTGATCTTCACAGTGAACAACGAGTTGTCGATTGTCTTTTGAGGCGTGACATTGAGCACAGGTATCGGCACTTCGTATCGGCGCTCAAACGGATCGTAAAACTTGATCCTTTAGTTCGCAAATACAAAACGATTAATAATATTTCACAACAAAAAACTTGTTATGAAATAATGATTTAATAGTTAACGCGTGAATACCTGACAGAGTTGTCGTTAATTTCAGTGATTTCCAGCTTAAGAGTGGGCGCGTCTCGAATGAAACCGGAGGGTTGGGTGCGATTCAGCGTAACGACTGTGCGGTACAAATATTTCTCGATATTTGTCACCCGATATCCGGTGTAATCACTGCCGAAGTAACAATACGGCACATCCAGTGGTGGAACAGTAACATTGGTGGCACTCTTATTGATAGCACTTGTTTTAGTGGGCGGTTGTGTTGGGACAGTCCTCCCGGTCTGAGACCAACAACAGCCCCTCTTTTGGCAAATGTCTTGACTAATCGGTTCGTCGGGATTACAGTCGAACCGAGCGTTGGGCTCAATGTCCCGACATTGAGGACCAGTAATGCGTTCATTGATTGGGTCGAAGATCAGATCACTGACACTGTCGTCCACTTGCGGCTCAACGGGTGGCAAATGAATGGCATTATAACTGAATTTAATCAAAAAGATGCCCGAAATGGCGATAATCAACAATAGGATGAGTGAAAAGAGTGATAACTTGAGGCATGCATTTTGTGTCTTTGGACTTTTGGATGGATTCAACACAAGAGTGTCTTCGCGGCTGAAGAGCTCGATATTGTCGCTGTACTCCGCCCTCGACGTCGACGCCCCTCTGTCTGACAGCCACTTCTTGGGCATCGAGTCAAACATTTTTCCGGTGAATATCCGGTATATAATGAATACTTTAACAAAAATAATATCATAATTAATAATTGTGTGCAAAAAATAACATTTCAAACGCAAAAAAAATTAATTTTTCAAAAATTTACGAAATAATAAAACACAGAATAAATGATTATTTTTGAAGTGTAATTACTTTTGGGTCCGTTTTGAGACATTGTTTAACACCACACATGAAAAAACACACAAACAATTTCTCATATAATTAATGACAAGTTAAATAACAGTGCGTTTAATAATACCGTTCCTCACGTTATATAACGGGTATAATCCGTAAGGAAAGGGAAGACTTATGTTATGTTTTACTTTAAAAACATTTTAAAGTTAACATTTTATTCCCAAACATCACTTCATAACTGTTAAGCGCACACAAAACTAAACAAATAAATTAAATATTATTTCACATACTATTAATCAATTAGATTTTAATCCACTTTTATCGGGGGTGAGAATGAGTGAGAGGGAGGGGAGAGAGATGTATACAGTATGTGAATAACCGGTTTGTAATTAACTAGAAAACTGACAAAATTGATAATTTCGCCGAGAATTATGCCGAAAATACGTGAAATGAAAATTTTATAAAAAAGTTATACATATAATAAATTTAAAAACATTTTTTAATGAATGTAATGAGTAGTTGTGGAGATAGGCTAGACACGGGGGCGTGGCTTATTTTTAATTAATATTAATTATAAGGGGGAGAGGAGGGGGCAAAGGCGGCGATAGTACTGTGTTTGTACTATTGTAAAATCATTAGCGTGAAGATATTTAGAAGAAACTCATATGACATTTAATTAAATTTATAAATTTATTTTGAAATTTTAGATTAATCAT